CCAAATGCCACACCAGCTCTGGGCCTTCTCACCCCAAAAAGGTGGACTTTGCTACCCTGGCCAATCTGGTACTTTCTATTTGCATTTTCCTCCTTCTTTATCCTTTAAAACTTCTTGTCTTCCGCCCCACTTTGCAGTTCTCTGAAAGGAGACTGTTCACTTGATGAAATGTCAAATAAAGTTTGTATCACCTAAATTGTCTTCCGTAAACATTGTTTAACAGAGGTAAGATGTTAAATGGGGGACGACAGCCAGTACTTTAAGATGGCCAGCGTTAGATGCCAAAACAAATTGCTGGACCAAAGTGCATTTTTTCCAAAGTGGGTTGGTGAGCATGTTTTAGAAATTGCAAACTCTTTACCAGCATCGGGGTCAGGGGTGGACAGTTGGGATAGAAAGGAGATGTGTGCAGAGATCTGGGGGGAGCTGTTGCCACACTCTCTCCACCCTTAAGGGGGCTGGGCAGTGCTCAGGCCTTCACCTCACACCTGGACACTGAGGCATAGACAGACTCCTCAGAGAACTGAGGTTAGGGAGTAGGGGACTGGCATTTGCTGCTCGGGGAATCTAGAGAACAGAATAACTGGAGGGTAGGACACGGGTCGATGGAGATTGGTGTTACACTGAGAGAAAACTCAGACTTTGTTTTTCATGGACACGGAGGCAGTCCCCATGGGAGAGGGTGAGTAGTCGGAGCCCTCTGGCTTCTAGTCAAAGCCCTTTGACTCCAAATCAAGAGGACTATCTAGAAGCCACTAAGAGGGCCAGGGTGACCTCCCCGCTCTCCGACCCTGGACGGAAAAGTGAGGGCGGCTGGTGAGTGGCAGCAGAGGCCAATGGGAAAGAACGAACCGGGACCGGCTGGTTCACCTTCTGTAACTGGTCCCAGCTGGCGAAGGGGATATTTAGCTACCTAATTAAGACCACTGTCGTTGCAACTGAACTTGCCCTTTAGCTTGAATTCCCTGAAGATGGCCAGAAAAGTCAGGGCCTGATTGAGCTTTCTTTAATTAAGGACCAAGGAAAACACTCCTTCCAGTGAGCAAGCTTGCAGGGGGAGAGGAACAGAAAAAGTCAGGCTTTGATTCAGTCCCAGGAGCTATTCTTGCTCAATGGACCTCATACGTGCTGCACAGAGTTCTTTTTTTTTTTTTCAGAGTTCTTTATATTACCTGAAGCAGTTAATGTCTATGTTAATTTTCTTAAATAAAAGTGTTTATTACAAAAAAGAAACATTTTCAAAACTTCATGTATCTTTTTTTAAAAAATATTTTATTTACTTATGAGAGAGAGAGAGAGAGAGAGAGAGAGAAAGAGGCAGAGACACAGGCAGAGGGAGAAGCAGGCTCCATGCAGGGAGCTTGATGGGGGACTCCATGCCGGGGCCTTTGGACCCTGCCCCGAGCCAAAAGGCAGATGCCCCACGGCTGAGCCACCCAGGTGTCCTGCTTCACATTTCTTTTACAATAACATAGCCTTGTACAAATCTTATCCAACGTAAACAGTGTTTCTCAATCATCATTCTAATGACATGGTATACTAAAATGGTAAAATATTTTGCTAATATGACCTATTTTTTGTGCCTACCACTTCTATAGTGGCTGCATCACTTCTAAAAGATTGTTCTCCAAAACCAGCTTCATTCTCCACGTTGGAGCAGGGTCTTGAAAGATGAATTTTCATTATTATTTTTTAAAGATTTTATTTTTAAGTAATCTCTACATCCAACATGGACCTCAGGCCTACAACCCTGAAATTAAGAGCCATGTACTCGAGACACTGAGTACTCGGACTTCCCTGCAGGGAGCCTGCTTCTCCCTCTGCCTATGTCTCTGCCTTTCTCTGTGTGTCTCTCATGAATAAATATAAATATTTTTTAAAAAAGTCATGTGCTCTACTGACTAAGCCAGTCAGATGCCCTTATTTTTCATCATTTTGAACTGTATTTCTTCTCAATGTCTGTTGAAATACAACTTTCTTTGCGCTTTTTCTGTATCCCACCTTTCCATTCCATATTCTGCTTTGAAGTTTATTGGTTTGTTTTTGCATCCTATGGTGGGAAGAGGATAAAACCAATCTAATGCTTTCCATTGAAAGTGGAATAATGTCCTATAAGGTGTAGCATCACATCAAACTAAAAAAAAAAGAAAAGAAAATGGGGAGAATGCTGTGTTTTGGAAATAAGCTGAAGAACACTTTCAGTAGTGTAAAGAGTATACCTATTAAGTGCTGAGTAAGGAAAACTGGTACATAGTCCTCAACCTGAAGAAGTTTACAATTTAGTAAAAGACTAAACATTAAGCATTTCTTAACACAGTGGATTGTACAATAAAAACCAGAGTGAATGAATGACTAAGTATACTGTGTAGTAAACAGTAAGCTTGGGAGCTCAGAGAAAGGAGCAACTTTCCATCATGGGGTGAAGTGGTCATTGCTTCAGAAGGAAGTGGGCTTTGACTATGTAAAAGAAAAACTTTTGGATAATTTGGGGGGGGGGGTCTATATCTTTCTTGTTCACCCCTGTATCCATTGTCTAGAACTGAGCTATTAGAGTAGCCACCAGCTACATGTGGCTACTTAATGTAACTTAGAATAAATTAAAATTAAATAAATATTGATTTCCTCAGCCACTCTAGCCTGTGTCAGTAGTCATGCATGACTAGTGACTACCATATCAGAAAGAGCATATTTAGAACCTGTCTACCCTGCAGAAAGTTCTCCTGCACAGTGCTGATTCAGATTAGTGACTGGCATGTAGAAGTGCTCAATAAATATTTAGTGAAAGAAGTTAAATCAATGAAAGTTGATGAACTTGTCTTTTAGAGCCTCCTGTTTTCTCATTTTACAGATGAAGAAAATAACAATTAAAAAATTGGGAGGTTCAAATGAGATAATGAGGTGAAATTACTTCATGCACTAGAATGACACTAATATGAATTATTGTAATTCAAGCTTCCTGGAATAGTGGGTACAAATGGGATTAGATAACTAGGAAGGACTCAAATTTCACTGGCATCTGCCCTTGCCTACCTAATACATGTGAGTTCTCTCATGTGGCCCTTCCTGATGTCTATCCCTTGAGGGTGGGAGAGCCCTCACTGGCCATTCCTGCCAGTGAGGAGCTTGACAATGTTAATAATGGAAACACGAATCTGTCTCCAGGAGTATTCAGATTCACAATTAAAGAAAAATCTACAGGTCAGACAACAACAACGACAAGTTTGTGAGCTAGATTCAACCAACATTGAGGTGTATATGATACCCTAGAAGCCTGCAGGGACCCAAAGAAATGCTTGCTTATCCAGTCTTCATAGTCTTGCATCTTCCACACCAACTGGAAGGCATGTTCCTTTCCCCAAGACCTCTCAGTCTCAAGCTTTCCAATGAACACCAAAGCTCAGCTCTGCCCTACAGATTCCTTATAAACACAGTCCCGCTCTGCCTGCAGCTGCTATTGCCAAGATTTGGCCAGATGGGTGGGTGGGTGGGGGGTGACATGTAAAAAAGATGATCACCAGGTTGAGTCTTTCATGCCCCCACTCCTGCTTCAGGAGCCCTCTCACAAAGCTCCTTGCTGTCCCCTTTTACCTGTATAAATTATTCATGGAAGTAGATGTTTACAGGCTGCAGAGTCCAGAGCAGTTAATCAGACAAGCTAGGCCAACTGGCATCCGTATCAGTTCATCTGACCAGGGCTTCCACTGCTTTGGTTGTGCAGTGGTGTTTCTAGTCCCTTGGCCAAAGCCCCTATCCCCCTTACAACTTCTTGGAGGATACAGTAGTTAGCTGTTGACTTGTTTCTTTGGATTCTTGTCTTGGGCTTGGATTCTTGGACTTAGTTTCATTGACAGGTGCTCTGGTTGTATGAACTTAGTGATGCTGAGCTGCATCTACCTTGTCTTGGCTGTCCTGAAGTGGGAAGGCAGCCCAGACCCCGGTTCAAGGTCTTGTACACCTTGTACTTGTGTGCCCCACATTGTGTACAGGTCTTGACAATTTGACTTGGCCCTTTCTGCCCAGCTGTGCCTCCTTTAGGCTGGAGGACCAGGACTGAAAGTGGGCACTTCTTTCTTCTTCAAGCACTTTACAATTCAGGTTTGTGGCTGTCTTTAGCTCAGAGGCAATCCTAAGGATTTGAGGCTTTATCTCCAGGAAGTATCCTATTTCTCCACCATTGATAGGAGTTTGGGGGTTGTTTTAGGAACAGAAAAGATGATTCAAGAGTTCATTTTTTATTTCTTACTCAGACTTCTTAGATTTTGAGAGTCAGTTTGCTTTTCTTTTAAAAAACACATCAAAATTCAACAATCACTTTTAAGGGTCTTTTGAATTTACTAAGTTACTTAAATAGTTTCACAGCATTTTAAAACTGCATTTATAAATTTACTGTATTTCTTTTTTGGATATTTCAACTGTCTGACTTCATAAAAATTCCCCAAATGCTAAATAATTCTTGTAAGTTTAATAAATAAAACTTACAAATGATACCAAGTAATTCTAGTTTTCTCAGATGTTCTGAAGCCATGCAAAAAATCAGGAAGATTTTATCTTAAAAATTATCTAAATTAATTTCTTGATACATTTTTAATAACAGTTGTAAGGCTGTTCCTGGGACTGAATTTCTCAAACACTAAACATTACCATGGATGCACAGATCCTTTCTTAATACAAGGTAATAAATATTGTGGTCTTTATTCTGAACCTTTATATACTTAATGCCTAAAAAGAGGTATTTTAATATGATATTTGCATATACTGTGAAATGATTACAATATGACTAACATCACTATACAAACATACAGAATGTTTCTTTTGTGTAATGAGAACATTTGAATTTACTCAGTAACTTTCAAATAGGCAACATAATATTATTAAGTATAGTTGACAGGCTGTATACTTTATCCCCCTGACTTATTTATTTTATGACTGGATATATGTACCCTTCACACATTTTGCCTGCTGCCAAGCCCCCACCTCTGGGAACCACCAATTCCTTCTGTAAAAATATGGACTGCTTCACAAGTTTTCATGCCATCCATGGGCAGGGGCCAAGCTAATCTTCTCTATATCATTTCAATTCTTAGCCTATGTGCTGCCCAAATGAAGACTTAATAATCCAATTCTTAAATGTAAACTGAGGTCACTTAAGAGCAGAGCAGTTGACCAGATATCCCAAGTGAATCTTATCATTGATAATTACTTTCTAGGCTGAGTCTGATTTCCCCAAGATGCCATCCCAATGATATCTGAAAGCTTTCTTGCCTCTGGGCACATCTGTCCCGGGCCAACCTGGTACCCTTCCTACTCCAAACATAACCATTTCTCCAAGCAGTCCTGGTTCCTTGTAGTGAAGAATGTAGAGATCAAGGCTGGGACATCAAGCAAGGTTTCAGGCTAGATTGTGATATTGGGTGGTATTGATCTTAGATATTCAGAGAACTTTCCAAGTTGGAAAACACTTTAATTCAGTTATTCACTCTCTCTCTCTCCATCTATCCATTCATCCATTTATCTAATTAACATACCATTCCCTCTAAATTCTTTGTTTCTATGATTATACCTTATTTTCTCTTATGGTTAAATCTTCATATATATTTGATTTCATGTCAACATACATATTTAATTTATCCAAACAAAAAAGTAAAAATAAGAATATGATATTGGTATGAAAAATAAAACCACTAAATGAAATTCAAGATTTTTCTTTTTTTTTTTTTGCAGTTCTTTTTTTTCTTAGAATATATCCCAGTGAGTATGGTCTCTAGAGTCCCTTGTAATTCCTATTTTGTATGGTTACATAAGAACCAATTTCAGCTTGAAATGTTGATGTTTAAACAGCTACAAGTTCTTAAAAGCTAGCAACTTTTAACTTCTTGTCATTTCTTGGTGGTAATACTGAGCTAGTAAAGAAGTATAAAAATTAATCCTAACTGACTTTAGGAAATGAGTGGAAAACACAAGGAATTCAGACTCTGAAGTCTGTTCCAAGTTCAGTATAACCATCATCTGGCCAATTTTCTTTTCTTTCCTTTTTTTTTTTTTCCTCAACTGGCCAATTTTCAATGGCTGAATACTGGCTGGATGTGCAAGATTTTTAATAAGGAAATTTTGGCTGTGCAGACCCATTCTGCCTAATAGCATTTAATTTCTAGTAATATAATATTACTAGCTACATGTTTTCATGTGCTTAATTCTATTTTAACTTTATCAAGTTTTCTCAGTACTTTTATCTAGTACTTGTATCTCATACTGCATAAATTCAATTTCCAAAGACTGATCAGAATTTTAGAAATATATAATTGAGGTACATCAAGATCAATTTTAATTAAGTTAATTAAAAGAAAGGAGAACATATCAGATATTATTCATTTAAACTTTAGCTAGGACATTCATGTGAAAACCTCTCTATAAATGCATATGGATTTCAGACTACCTGGATTCCATTAGAATCAATTTATAATCACCAGCTTTTAACATTTAGAGAACTCCAAAGTCTAGTTTGGAAACAAGAAACTACATTAGATATTGCAATGGAGAATTAGTTCAATAGTTCTTAGAGGACTGAAAAGCAACTTAATTTAAATTCCCCTGATGATTAATGATGTTTAGCATCTTTTCATTGCTTATTAACTTTATTTATGTCTTCTTTTTTTTATTATTATTTTTTTTTTATTTACGATAGTCACAGACAGAGAGAGAGAGGCAGAGACACAGGCAGAGGGAGAAGCAGGCTCCATGCACCGGGAGCCCGACGTGGGATTCGATCCGGGGTCTCCAGGATCGCGCCCTGAGCCAAAGGCAGGCGCCAAACCGCTGCGCCACCCAGGGATCCCCTTTATTTATGTCTTCTTTGTTGAACTGTCTCTTCAAATCTTTTGCCCACTTTTAAATTGGGTTGTTTCTATTTATTTATTTATTTATTTATTCATTTATTTATTTCATTTAAAGTGAAATACAAACTCTTCCATGACAAGTCCCCAGATGAGTTGGTCCCTGCCTGGATCTCTAATACTATTTTTACCTCTTTGCCCACTGTGCTATGGTTATGTTGGCCTTCTGTTTATTTCTCACACCTGGCAAGCTCACTGCTGATCTTTATGTTACCAAATATTTCTTATCAGTTAGTCTGCAGCTAAACAATCCTATTCTCAGAGAAGACTTCTATTCAAATTAAAACAGCACCTCTACTACAGCCTCCTACTGGGTAGTCACTATCCTTTTACCTCTTTCTAGTTACTCAACAGAGACTACCAAGCTCTGAAAGTATCTGATCCATTTGCTTATTTCTTGCTGACTTTCAAATATACAGTCCATGAGAGCAGCATATTGTTGGTCTAATCCTTCTCACCTGGCAAAGTGACTGGCATAGGGTGGGACTACAACACAATTATTGATTGGCTTAAGAATGAAGTCAAACTTTCACTATTTGCCGACAACACCATGCTCTATGTAGAAAGTCCAAAAGACTCCACCAAAAAAAAAAAATTGCTAAAACTAATATATGAAGTCAGCAAAGTTGCACAATATAAAATCAATATACAGAAATCTGTTGCATTTCTATACACCAATAACAAAACAGCAGAAAAAGAAATCAAGGAATTGATCCCATTTGCAATTGCACCAAAAACAGTAAGATGCCTAGGAATAAACCTCACCAAAGTGGTGAAAGACCTGTACTCTGGGTCCAAGTCCCTGCTCTGCTGGGTATACTTGGACCCAGGCTCGAGCTTGTAAATAAACCCTCGTGTGATTGCAAAAAAAAGAAAATCATTAAAATGTCTATACTACCCAAAGCAATCTACACATTTAATGTAATCCCTATCAAAATATCAACAACATTTTTTACAGAACAAGAACAAATAATCCCCAAAATTGTATGGAAACACAAAAGAATTTGAATAGCCAAAGCAATCCTGCAAAAAGAAAAACAAAACTGGAGGCATCATGATTCTGGATTTCAAGCTGTATTACAAAGCTGTGGTCATCAAGACAGTATGTTACCAGCTTGAAAACAGACACATAGATCAGTGGAGCAGAATAGAAAGCCCAGAAATGGACCCACAACTCTATGGTCAAAGCAGGAAAGAATATCCAATGGGAAGAAAGACTGTCTCTTCAACAAATGGTGTTCGGAAAACTGGACAGCAACATGCAGAAGAAAGAAACTGGACCATTTTCTTACACTATACACAAAGATAAATTCAAAATGGATGAAAGACCTAAATATGAGACAGGAGACCATCAAAATTCTAGAGAAGAACATAGGCAGTCACCTCTTTGACCTTGGCTAGAGCAAAGGTCAAATGTCTCCAAAAGCAAGGGAAACAAAAGCAAAAATGAACTATTGGGACTTCATCAAGATAAAAAACTTCTGCACAGCGGAGGAAACAAACAAAGCTAAAAGGTAGCCTACAGAGTGGGAGAAGATATTTGTAAATGACATACCTGATAAAGGGTTAGTATCCAAAAATCTATAAAGAACTTATCAAACTCAACACCCCCAAAAAACAAATAATCCAGTTAAGAATGAGCAGAAGACAAGAATAGACACTTTTCCAAAGAAGACATCCAGATGGCTAACAGACACAAGAAAAGATGCTCAACATTACTCATCATCTGGGAAATACAGATCAAAACTATAATGAGACACCATCACACACCTGTCAGAATGGCTAAAATTAACAGCACAGGAAAAAACAGATGTTGGGGAGGATGTGGAGAAAGAGGAACCCTCTTACACTGTTGGTGGGAATGCACACTGGTGCAGCATGCACTCTAAACAGTAGAGAGGTTCCTCAAAAAGTTAAAAATAGAACTACCCTACAATTCAGCTGTTGTACTACTAGGTATTTACCTAAAGGATACAAAAATGCAGATTTTTGTAGGGGTATGTGCACCCCAATGTTTACAGCAGCATTCTCAACAATAGCCAAACTATGGAGAGAGACCAAATGTCCCTTGACTGATGAATGGATAAAGATGTGATACATACATACAATGGAATATTTCTCAGCCATCAGAAAGAATGAAATCTTGCCATCTGCAGTGACGTTGATGGAGTTAGAGTGTATTATGCTTAATGAAACAAGTCAGTCAGAGAAAGACAAATACCATATGATTTCACTCATATGTGGAATTTAAGAAACAAAACAAAACAGAGCAAATGGGAGTGGGGGAAAGAAAAGAGAGAGAGAGAGTGGAAAACAAACCATAAGAGACTCTTAACTCTAGGGAACATAGAGACTCTAAAACTCTGTGTGTTGATGGAGGGAAGAAGATGGAGGATGGGCTAGAGGGATGATGACTATTAAGGAGGGCACTAGTGATGAGCACAGGGTGTTACATGTAAGTGATGAATCACTGAATTCTACTCCTGAAACCAATATTGCACTGTATGTTAACTAGAATTTAAATAAAAATTTGAAAAAAAATCTCTTGGTCATTTAAAAAATTGTGATAACTTACACAACAAAAAACTGTCACTGTTGTGATCCCTGGGTGGCTTGGTGGTTTGGCGCCTGCCTTTGGCCCAGGGCACGATCCTGGAGTCCCAGGATCGAGTCCTGCGTCGGGCTCCTGGCATGGAGCCTGCTTCTCCCTCTGCCTGTGTCTCTGCCTCTCTCTCTCTTTATGTCTAATAAATAAAAAATCTAATTCTTAAAAAAAAACTGTCACTGTTTTAGAAAATTAAATTTAAAAACTTTAAAAAATTGTTGAGCTTGAGATCTCTTTATATATTTTGTAAACAAGGACTGCAATAGATACCTAATTTGAAAATATTCCCCCCAGCTTGTGGCTTTTCATTTTCTTGATACTGTCTTGAAGTAGTACTATAAATTTTTAATTTTGATGAAGTCTGATTTACCAACTTTTTCTTTGCCTGTTAAACTTTTTGTGGCATTTCTAAGAAATGTCTGCCTAACTCAAGGTCACAAAGTTTTATCCTATGTTTTCTTTTAGAAATTATGTGGTTTTAGGTTTTACATGGATGCATTGGATGTTAGTGTTTTTATATATGGTATGGGGCTATTATTATCATTACTTATGCATACCCAATTGTTCCAGTACCATAAGTTGAAAAGACTCTCCTTTGCCATTGAATTCCCTT